ATTTACCTCAAGTAGACACACGCCCTGGAGAGAACAATCATGGGAGAAGGAAGGGCTGCTTATGCACAGGGAGATAGCTCAGGGCAGAAGAGTATGGAGGGATGGACACTGGGAAGAGGTAACTATGGGGAGGAAGTGGGAGGGGAGCTGTTGCATTGTAAATTTTGGTCAATTACATAAGACAAAGTATATGTGAACTGCTGTATGAAAAGTGAATTTACTCTGTAAATCTTCACCCAAATCAAAATAAAATTAAAAAAAAAAAAGGATGGCCTAGGACTTCTGGTAAGATGGCAGAGTATGCAGATAAGCTACCAGACCTTCTGCAACAACAAAAAAAGAGAAACCAATTGACACAGACACAGATGATAATCCTCGAGCCCTGAGCTATGAAAGGAAGGATACAGAAGTGGATTAAACACCAACTAGTAGAAGAACCTGAATGAGAAAACTGAGCAAGGAGACAAACGGAGCTGTGGACTGTCAGCTGTCCTGATGGCACGAACAGCCTGAATATTTGCAAGTGGTGTTAGGATCTGAGAATTAACCTGAAAATTGGCCCTGCTCACCAAGGGCTGCATGTACTATTGCATGGATAGCTAATGTCTGAAAAGGGAAACAGCAAAGAAGGAGACAAACTGAGCTGTGGACTTTTGGTCCAGAGGTGCAGCCATTTTGAATATTTATAAATGGTGGTCATTTTGGATATTTAAAGTGACAGCATTCTCATTCAGATTCCAGGGACCTTAGAATAGGCTTCACTTGCCAAAGACAGCACAGACATACAGGAGGATGATGACTGGAATGAAGACAGGTGGTGAGGGCATAAGTGCTGCCAACTAGCAAACAGAGGAGTACAGTACCCTGTTTACTTGGATACATCCACACAAAACAAAGAAATGAAAATCTTGACCAAATCACTCCAATGTACAATCACCAATTAAACATAAACACAAAAACATCACAATGTTTCAGAGACCACAGACCATCACAGTCAACAATAAGCAATATAAAGCAGTAGAAACAAGGGACCAGGATATGGATCCAGAACACATTCCTAAGGAAAAAGCAGCATTGGAACTCCCTGATAAGGAATTCAAAATAATTATCTTTAGGTACCTTCAAAGCATTGAGAGATAGATCAAGGAAAACACTGAAACAATTGAGGAAAACACAGAGAAAACCTTAAAAGAATTTTGGAAGACAATACAAGAAGAAAATGACATAATAAATGGAAAATTAGAAATGATACAAAATCTACAGATAGAAATCCAGGAGAGTCATACTAAATTCTCAGAAATAGATAACACATTGAGCAGGCAAAGGAGTAGAACTGAATCCATGGAAGACAGAATTAGTGAGATTGAAAACAAATATCTGAATACTTCTTTGGAAAGGGATCAATCAGAAAAAAGATAAAAACAAAATGAAGAAACCTCAAAGTTCATGTGGGATACCATCACAAGGAATTAACTATGTGTAATCGAAATTCCAGAACAGGAAGAGACAAATAAAAGCACACAGAAAATTGTTGACAATTTGTTGGAAGAGAATTTCCCTGATATGATGAAAGACAAGAATATATCCATTCAGGAAGTCCAACGAACCCCAAACAGGATAGATCCCAAAAGAAAATCGCCAAGACATATCATCATCAAACTCACACAAACCAAAGACAAAGAGAGAATCCTGAAAGCAGCATGGGGAAAGCAAAAAGTTACCTACAAAGGGCAAACAATAAGACTAAGTTCTGATTTCTCAGCAGAAACCATGCAAGTGAGAAGGCAGTAGAATGGTATATATAAAATCCTGAAAGAAGAAAATTTCCAACCAAGAATTATACATGCAGGAAAATTGTCCCACAAATATGATAGTGAAATTAGGACATTTCCAGATAAGCAGAAATTAAAGGAATTTGTTAAAGTCAGACCAACCTTACAAGAGATGCTAAAGAGAGTCCTCCGGACAGAGAACCAATAACAACTAACAAAAACAGCCCATTAACACACATGATGACATAATCCAGAAACCAACCAAGTTATGGAGGTATCCAAAGTAAATAAGTCTACAAAACAGGGAAACAGAGATGTCAATTGGCAAATGAAGACAACTACAAACCAGTGTTTCACATGCCAGCAGGGCTGCACATGGTGCATAGGTTTCTATGCAGCTTAACAGACTGACACAGACTAGGAAGAAGGAAGAGGCCATCCACTTCTCAAAGAATTGGCCAGGGAAAACTTTATGAATAGCAGAGAAACACTGTCTGATATATTACTGGGCAACATTATGAATAGCCTAGAAACATTGTCAGACACAGTGCAGGAAGATGAGCCCCTTGGGGCAGAAGGCACTCAAAGTAGGACTGGGAAAGAGCTGCCTCATCAGAGTAGAACCAACCTTAATGATATGGATAAAGTAAATCTTTTGGGATCTCCATGTGCTGATGTGGCACCACTCAAATTGAGGAGAAACAACTGCAAACATCCATTAATAATGTTGTTGTTGTTGTTATGTGCCATCGAGTTGGACCCGACTCATAGCGACCCCTCCTTGGGTTTCCGAGGCAGTATCACAATGGAAGTGGATTGCCCCATCTTCCTTCCAAGGAGTGGCTGGTGGTTTTGAACCGCTAGTCTTCTGGTTAGCAGTCAAGTGCCTTAGCCACTATGCTACCAGAGCCATAGGAACATGGAATGTATGAAGTATGAACCTAGGAAAATTTGAAGTTGTCAAAAATGAAGTGGAATGCATAAAGATTGATATCTTAGGCATTACTGAGCAAAAATGGACCGGTTTCAGTCATTTTGAATCAGATAACCACATGATCTACTATGCTGGGAATGACAAATTGAAGAGGAATGGTGTGGCATTCATCACCACAAAGGATGCTTCAAGATCTGTCCTGAAGTACATTGCTGTCAGTGATAGAATAATATCCATATGCCTACAAGGAAGATCAGTTAATACGACTGTTATTCAAATTTATGCACCAACCACCAAAGCCAAAGATGAGAAAATTGAAGATTTTTATTAATGTCTGCAGTCAGAAATTGACCAAACATGCAATCAAGATGTGTTAATCATCACTGGTGATTGGAATATGAAAGTTGGAAAGAAAGAAGAATCACCCATTGTTGGAAAATTTGGCCATGGTGACAGAAATAATGCTGGAAATCACATGATAGAAATTTGCAAGAACAATGACTTATTCATTGCAAATACCTTTTTTTTCAACAACACAAA